GGTGCAGTGCAGCCGACAGGCCCTGGGGGGCGCTGGTGGGAGCTGCTGCCCAGAAGAGTCGGCTGTGAGGCCTGGTCTTTGTGGTGAGTGGCCAGGCCTGTGCCGCCGTGGCTCCAGCCCAGTGGAGCCCGGTGCAGCCGGCAGTGTGGGCTGGCTGCTTGGGGGGAAAGACCGTGAGCACAGTGGGCACAGGGCAGGCCAGGCCTGTGGGCAGGAGCTGGGAGCCGGCCTGTGCCGTCTCGAGGGCCGCACGGTGCGTTTCCAGCGGTGAGTGTGGTTGGGGCCGGTGCCCTCAGTTTGCTTCAGCTCATGCTTGTTGAGCACCTGTCATGCCAGAGATGCTCTGGGTAACGGGTGACTCAGAAAGACTTTAGACACATCCTTAGGGATCTTCAAGTCCAGTGGGAGGGACTCTAGAAATGCATGCTGGGAAAGGCTCCCCGATCATGTGGAGATCCCGGGCAAAGCCAGCTCTGGAGGGCTGGGACGCCGGACATGTGGTTCAGGCTCCCCGACCTCTCCCCCGGGAGCCCCTCTCTTTCAGAGCTGCCTGAGGCTCAGGGCCCACCTTGGCCTCTGCCCCCGCCTCTCACCCTGTCGCATCCTACGAGCCCCTTGAGCCCTCGTCCTCCTGTCCCCTGTTTGGCCGCTTGGCTTCTCCCTTCCCCGGCCCCAGCACCTTGGCCTCATCCTCTCTCCCTGGTGAGCTGGTGTGACGGCACTGGATTCGTCAGCTTGGCCGGAGTCAGCCTGAGTCCCGTTGGGCCTGCCCCCTGCCACACGGGGCGTGAGTTATCAGTGGGTTTTCTGCACTGTGGCTGGGACCTTCTCCCCCTAAACTGGTTCTCCACCCAAGCTCATTGGTCGAGGGTGGGAACTCAGGCCCGACTTCCTGATCCTGATTTTTGTCCTGATTTCAGCTTGTTTATCATGCTGAAGTCTCCAGGGTGGGTACCCTCCCTCTTTGAAACCTTTAAATCACTGCGCAGGGTCCCTGGCTGCCACTCCCTGCTCTCAAGCTCCCGGAGAGCCACGCCTGTCACCACCGTGCTCTGGGGAGGCAGGACATGAGGCTCCGCTTGGCCCTCCAGGCCTGGATGGCTGTTTTCCTTTGACTATAAAGGCGGTTTCGAGGCTTGGGTCACTTGGAGTCCCATAGTTTTGAGGCTGTTGCCTGTTTTATCTGGGCCATGGTTCCACCACTTCTGTAGAAAGGCCGATGAGGGTCCCTCCCTGGGGCGTGGCCTGAGAGCTTGGGGGCGCAGAGGAAGTGTCTGGGGCAGCTGGCCCTCAACGCCGACTGCCGAGCTGGGCCCTGGGTGCCGGGCCCTGGATCCTGGCTCTCTGCCTGCTCGGGATGCCAGGTCTCTGTCCTCAGCCCGTAAGACCTGCACCCAGAAGTCCCACCATGGGGGCACAGCCTTCCAAACTGGGGCTCTGCCGTGGGGTCCCCAGCCACTCTGTGCCCCATGTGGCTTGATGTTTAAAACATCATGCTCCTGTGGGCATCCGCCCTCCCGATCAAAGGCATTTTGGGTCTCCTAGCACGTGTTATCCCTGGCCTGTGACGCACGGTGGTTGGGGGCTTGTGACTTTGACGTCCGCGCAGCCATGGCCCTCAGTCACGTGCTGTGCCGCGACCACCGGCAGCGAGTGAGCTGCAGGGAGCGGGTCCCTGTCGGAGGCTGAGCTGAAAGGGGACCAGAAATGCCGGTGCCGGAGGCGGGCAGGCCCGGAAACCGACAGAGGAAGTCTGTTGGCTCCAGACTCAGGGAGAATCTGAGAAATGAAGCATTTGATTAACGTCTGGGTAACGTAATGTGATTGATGTCCTCTTGCTTGTCAGATTTGGTGTCTTTAGCTGATTCCGTTTGCCAGCAATTTATGGGCAGTTTGCCGTACGCGTGGCCACGGCCAGGGCGTCAGGGCGCCGCTGAATCAGGGAGGAGTTTTTTAGGGAATGGCTTCGGAAGCAAAAATCCCGAGAAGTCCTCCCAGAACTTGAGCAGAAAAGCAGCTACGCTCTGGGGGCCGTGCTTCGGGGGTGGACACCCCGTGGGAAAGGTGGAGTGGGGCGCCTTCCTCCTCGTCCTCCACCCCCTGCCCCCATCCTGTGTTCTTGGCCTCTTCCCCGGCCCCTCGCCGCGTCTCCGTCTCTGTTTCTGGTCTTTCCTCCTTGTCTTGCCCTGTCCAGACCTTCCCCTTGGCCCTGGGTCTCTTGTTAGGGCTCTGTGTCCAGCGGGAGACCTCTGGGTGCCAGCTCGGGGCGGCGGGGGGCATGCAGGGCCGTTGGACACGAACACCTCGTACCGACTCCCACCTTGGTCCAAGGAGAAACCCACGGCAGAGCCGCCTGCCCGGCAAGGATTAGGCGTGACCCAGGAGTCTCCGTCTTGTCCGTAATCCGTGCCCTTCTTCTGTTTCCCCGCAGACCCAAAGCATCCCCTTCGCTGTGCGGGGGTTTTCTCTACCGTGTCATTGGATCTTGCTGATGTTGTAAACAGAGGGGGAGGTCGAGATGCGGAGGGGACCTGTTTGTTTTAAGGAGCTCAAAGGAAAGGCTGAGGTCAGATGCCCGAGGCAGGGTCTGACACTCTTGCTGCTTGAAAACAGATAATCCAACCTTGAATCAAAGGAAGTAATTTCCCCCACTTAATCTCCGGTGAGACAGACATCAAGCTCGCTCAGGAAACAGTTCCCAGGTTCCTATAGGAGACGTTCTAGGTTCTCTGTAACCAGGGTGTCGGGAGGCGCCCCAGGTCTGGTCGAGCTGGCCTTCTTGGGACCCCGGGGTTGGCTGAAAGATCTCTGAGAATGTTTACGTCTTGTTGACATACGTGGGTTTTTTTTTTTTTTAATGTTTATTTATTTTGAGAGACAGAGACAGTGCAAGTGGGGGAGGGGCAGGGAGAGAGGGAGAGAATCCCAAGCGGGGCTCGAACCCACGAAGCCATGAGATCATGACCTGAGCCGAAACCGACGGTTGGATGCCTAGCCGACTGAGCCACCCAGGCGGCCCCAAATAAGTGGTTTCTAACTCTTCAGATGCCTGAAGTCGGTCAGGTCTGTTCAGTTTCACCCCTCTGGTTTCCAATCATGCTTTCATCCATTCGTTTGTTTATTAGCACGTTGTTATTAAGCACTTATATGGACCAGACCCTGTTTGGGGCTCCAGGATGCAGTAGTGAGTGAGAGGCAGTTCCTTCCCTTAAAGATCATAGCTCTTACACACAAATAAATAAACAGCATAACTTCAGAAATAGACTAAGTGATGTCATAGATTTGAGCGGGTGGGGGCACCATGTAGATGGAATGAAGTTTACAGAAAGTGCAGTCAGTGTCTCCTGAGAGATCTGCGGAGCCCGGGAAGGTTGTTGGGGGGCAGACAGCAAGTGCAAAGGCCCTGGGGCAGGGAGGGGGTAGTGTTTGGGAGCGCAGGGAAATGGCGGTGGAGACTAGGGACAAAGGCCCTGAGGCAGTCATCACCACCAGCCTCCCTGCGTGGGTGGTATGGCCTTCAGGAACGTGCACAGGGACGTTTCCAGTAACAGAACATGCACCGCACGTGTTTCTTTTTTTCTTCTTCTTCTTTTTTTAAAGTTTATTTATTTTTGAGAGAGAGAGAGAATGGAAGCAGGGGAGGTGCAGAGAGAGAGGGAGGCACAGAATCAGAAGCAGGCTCCAGGCTCCGGGCTGTCAGCACAGAGCCCGACGCGGGGCTCGAACTCACCACCCGTGAGATCATGACCCGAGCCAAAGTCAGATGCCCACCCGACTGAGCCCCCCAGGCGCCCCTGCACCACACATGTTTCTGTTCACACGCCTCTAACTGGTGCAGTGGCTGCGTCATCCTCATAGGACACGGTTCAGATGTCCTCTTTTCCTGTCGTCCCGGCCGTGGAAACCAGATTCCTCTGTGGTATCTGCTTTGCTATTCCCAGAAAAGAACATCGCCAAGCAGGTTTTATGGGTCGCTGACTCCTGATGAGAAAAATGAGTTTCCCGGGGACGAGAGTCTGTCCTGAGTTGGTCCCCACGCTCTCGCCCTCTGCCGGCTGGGCGTGCCGCGTCGTTCCCCTGACCCCAGGCCGTCTGCGGCCCCTCGGTGCGGGGCCATTCGTCCTGTGACGTGCTTCTGCTTGGCCCCACAGGTTTGCCACCCAAGAGAGGAACGCCCTGCTGCTCTATAATGGCCGCTTCAACGAGAAGCACGACTTCATCGCCCTGGAGATTGTGGGCGAACAGGTGCAGCTCACCTTCTCAGCAGGTGGGGCCTCCTCCCCAGGAAGGAGCCGCTCTCTGAGCCCTTCACGGGCACTCTGTCACTTGAAACTACCCTCGTCCTTTGCAGCACCTTTAAGTGTGCTCCCTGCCCGTGCCCTGGTCCTGTTGGGGATCTGTCCTGTGGGGGGAAATGCGGAACGCACGAAGGTGTTCATGGCGGTGTCATTTATGATGCCGAAAAGACGGAAGGCCCGGCTCAGGGTCCCAGACGTTAGGGAACCGTTGGGCATCTGATCTGTAGATCGGAACTATTTAAAGAGCCGTGAAGCACGTCGTCACCCACGTTGTTGGCAGAGAACGTCGATCCAGGCTGTCTCGTCTGTGGCCCGCTAACCTGTGCTCTCTCTGGACTCCCCCACCCGCAGGTGAGGCTACCACAACGGTGACCCCGCAGGTCCCGGGGGGCGTGAGTGACGGGCGCTGGCACTCGGTGCAGGTGCAATATTACAACAAGGTAGGACGGGGTGCCCCCCTCCCCCCCACACACACCGCTTCCCGCCAGCCTGGGCGACCAGTGGCCAGGCCCCAGCAGCTCTTCTGTCTGAAGTCATTCATTCATTCATTCATTCATTCATTCATTGTTTAATTTTTTTTTTTAACATTTATTTATTTTTTTGGGACAGAGAGAAACAGAGCATGAACGGGGGAGGGTCAGAGAGAGAGGGAGACACAGAATCAGAAGCAGGCTCCAGGCTCTGAGCCGTCAGCACAGAGCCCGATGCGGGGCTCGAACTCACGGACTGCGAGATCGTGACCTGAGCTGAAGTCGGACGCTTAACCGACTGAGCCACCCAGGCGCCC